ACTCTAAGTTAATAGTTTGCAAAAAGTCATGGTAAGTATATTAAAAAAGGAAATGTGGAAATACAAAATCATCACCTTGTGTATTTTGTGTTTTGCAAACAATAAATTTACCTTTTTTGTTCTTTTTATGCCAAGCATTATTTTGAATTTTTGCTTCAAAAAATGTGGTTTTGACATCAATTCTTATTTACAAATTTGGGATTTTTGAAATGTTTCTTAAAAAATAAATGAAAGGTGCTTTGTAATTTTAAAAATTGCCACTTTCACATCGTCTTGGTCATAGATTTTGTACAACATTAATCTTGGTTCTGCATGAATCTACGGTTATTACTTGAGATCATGATTAAGCATATGATTAAACTTGATCTAAGAAATGGACTGCATGTATTCTTTAAAATTTCTTAAATAGTTTTGATTTCTTATAGCCACTAATGTGAGACCAAACTAACCTAAATTCTTCCCAATTTTGGTGAATCAAGCATATGTGTTTGTTGAGTCAAGTATCTTTGTGTGGTGAATTAGTTATTTCGATATAAACATGGCCCTACCTTCGACACAAAATCTTCAAAACAAGCATCTATATTTTGTTTGTGAATTATCATGTGTTTCTTATTTGTGTCTTACCTTTTTTCATCGTGCTTTGCTACATATTTTCAACAACATACGATACATTTGATGGCCACCTGATTCGATATAATCATATGCATATGTGCACATACTAATGCATAGATAAAATTGCTTTTGTCCATGCATTTATTGCTAATTATGCACTGCTGTTGAATGATCTTTCTAGTCCACACTCTTCATCTTCGAATATGAACTTTCTGATATTTGTACTTTTGAAATGCTTAATGTGTGCTAGATTGGGCTCTTCTTTCTAGCTACCTACATTAATACTTGACATACTTTTTCATCAAAAATTGCAGAGATCATGGACTTTGGTTATCCACAAAATCTTTCTTCAAATATCCTAAAGTTTTACATCACTCATGAAGGAGCATACTTGCCATTCTCGTCAAAAGGTCAGACGCTTGCTTTACTTTTCTATTTTAGCATGATTCTCTAGAATTGGACCACTATTGGTCTTTTTTTTCTTTTCTTTTTTTTTTGTGGTAAGACCAATGTTGAAGGTTTTTTCTACTTGTGAAAAATGAAATGTCTTATTTTGTTTTTTGGTTAGACCAATGTTGACAGAGCTTGAAGAAGATGCCAACAAGAAGAGATTGTGTTTCTTCCATTATTGGACAAAGAGGAAGAAGAAGAAGAATTGTTGCTGATCATAATTGTCAAAAAGTTACAATATTTCCCTCTCTAATTAATCATCCCTCTTCATTCTTATTTTTTCTGTTTCGTTCTCTCTCTACTACTACCCCAAACCCCAGTTCTCCTCCTGTTCGATGCAATGATCTCCAAGACGCTGTAAATTCGTTCAATCGCATGATCCAAATACGACCTTTCCCCCATATTTCTCAATTCAACAAAACTTTAGGTCCTCTTTTGAAATAAATCGGGAAAAGAAAGAAAAAAAATAAGTTGTTTTACTCAGATAAAGGAAATCTTATACTCTCATCTCCATTTAGTAAAGAGTTTTGTGAGAGTTTCAATATCTCAACAAAAATTCTCAATTCACACAATTTTAGTGCTCGGATTTCAACTTCCGAACGAAACCATGCTCTATCATTGATATCCAAATAATTAATTTTTATTCAAAAATTAATATTCTAATAATTATTTTTGTTCAAAAATTAATATTCGAACGACAAAAATATCGTAAACTAAAACAAAGTGTAGTGTGCAAATAAAAGCTGCCAAAACACCGGTGCATGATGTTTAACAAGATTGTCTATCAGAATTGCCCATGTGTTTGATGTTCTTTTGATAATATTAAAATAAATAAAGTATACAAATCTAATTGAATACAAGTTCTGTTTCTGTAATAAAAATCATAGAATAGTAGTTGGTTTTCATTTTTCAAAAGTCATATGGGACGTGCTGACATCACTAGCATAAAAATCATAATTTTGTGTTGATCTTTATATGTTTCCAACATCTTAAATTGAAGAAGACCTAATCTAATATTATATAAAGAAGTGGAGTTTTTAGTGAGGAGCCTTACGAGAGTTTCAATATCTCATACTAATTTGTTTGATTCCATTGGCTAGTTTTTATTTGATAATCCCACATCGGGAAAAGAAGAAAAAAAATGAATTGTTTTATTCATATAAAGTGAATCTTATACTTCCATTTAATTTAGTGAGAAGCCTGTGAGAGTTTGTATTTTATAATTCCACATAGTTTTTCATTTTTAAAATAATTTTGTATGAGATTTTGAAACTCTCATAATATTTAACTTTGAAATAATTACAATCCCACATCGAGAAAAGAAAGAAAAAAAGTGAGTTGTTTCACTTATATAAACTATTACAATCCCACATCAGGAAAAAAAAGAAAAAGTGAATTGTTTCACTTATATAAAATAAATCTTATAAAGGGAGAAACATTTTAAAAGTTCCAAACCTTTATTTTAAAATTATTGAATTTTCTTAATTTTAAACAATTAAGAAAATTCTTATTAACTAGTTTCCATTTACCTTTTATTTTATAATCCCAAATTGGGGGGAAAAAAAAAGAAGAAAAAAGTGAATTGTTTCACTTACATAAAATGAATCTTATACTTCCATTTATATAAGCAAAATAAGGTTTTTAGTGAGAAACCTTATGATTAATATTTCATATTAATTTTTTTGATTTTCTTAATTTTAAAAAATTAAGAAAATCTCGATTGACTAACTTTCATTTAACTTTTATTTTACAAAATATAAAAAAATTAAATATAATTATCATATATTTTTAAATAATATATAATTTTATCCCGTGTATAGCACGTGTGATATGCTAGTTATATTTTAAAGAAATGCTAGTTATAATTTATTTAAAACTAAAATTTATAATTTTATCAATTTAAATCTTAAACTTTTTATTTGTTTCGAATTTAAATCATTTACTTATTTTTGTTTAAAATGGTCATTAAATTGAATGCAAAGGGATTGGGCATTCAACCTAGTGGTTGTATAGCATTTTTTATCATAGGTTTCGGATTTAACTCTTATGAATAGAAATTTGATATATTTTGTGGTGATATTTAATTCTTCCCCATTATTATGAGATTGTATGTGATTAGTGGTTGTTGCACTTGGCCTTTAGGCATTTTTTATATGCTTATATTGAGTTTAATGAATAAAATTTTCTTTTTCTTTTGATTTTACTTGATGAAAGCATACAAATCATTTAGATTAAAAATAAATTAAGAAATTAAAATTTTAATTGATAAAACTAAAAAGATTTATTTAATAAAACTAAAAAGATTTATTTATTTATTTATTTATTTATTAGTTTTCCCAATTTTGTTTGGAAAAAATGCAAATTAATATATGCTTTCAAAAATAATTTCAAATTAATAGTAGAATTGAAATAGTTGAATTTATTGATTTTAATACTCATTCCGTCCCGAAATAATGATCTCTTTTGGGGAATCTAATTTTTTTTGGTAGTACAATTATTGTACTTTTTAAAATTTTGGTTTTCCACAATTATCTTTGATAGTATACTTTTTTGGAATATTAATGTTATAATTGTATTTTTTATATTATTTATGAATTTAAAAGAAGGGCAAAATGAGAAATTTATATTATTTTTGTACTTAATTTTTGAAGAGGAATTAATATTTTGGAATAATAAAAAATAGAATAAGGGACTAATATTATGGGACGGAAGGAGTAATTAAAGCTATAAATTTTTTTGAACAATTTATACTTTGTCAACTCTCTCTCTCTCTCTGTCTCACACACATTCACAGTCTCTTTCTCTCTCTCTTCGCTCTCACTCACACACACAGCTTGAAGAAGATGTCAAGAAGAGATTGTGTTTCTTCCATTATTGGACAAAGAGGAAGAAGAAGAAGAATTGTTGCTGATCATAATTGTCAAAAAGTTACAATATTTCCCTCTCTAATTAATCATCCCTCTTCATTCTTATTTTTTCTGTTTCGTTCTCTCTCTACTACTACCCCAAACCCCAGTTCTCCTCCTGTTCGATGCAATGATCTCCAAGACGCTGTAAATTCGTTCAATCGCATGATCCAAATACGACCTTTCCCCCATATTTCTCAATTCAACAAAACTTTAGGTCCTCTTTTGAAATTGGGTCGTTACGACCTCGCACTTCCTCTTATTGGGAATTTGCATTTTCTAGGCATTCATGTCGATATCTACACCTTCAACATTGCTATTGGCCCTGTTTGGTAGAGCTGTGGGAAATTGCTTATACCTTATGCCTCAACAGCTTATAGCTTATAACTTTCAGCTTAAGCTGATTTTCAGCTTATTCTTAAAACATCTCTTGCCACACTCAAAGAATAAGCTGATTTCTGACTTCCAAAAAGCTATAAGCTAAACTAAACACATCAAAATAGCTTAAATTAAGCTGAAAGCTGAAATAAGCTGTAATTAAGCTCTGCCAAACAGGCACATTAACTGTCATTACCGTCTGAATCAAGTCGATTTTAGGTTCTCTCTTTTGGGTACCCTCTTCAAACGCGGTTATACACCTGATGTAACTACCTTCAACACTCTGTTAAATGGACTTATTTTGGTCGATAAAACCCCTGAAGCTGTAGAGTTATTTAAGAAATTGTTGAGAATGAGAGAAATTGAACCCGACGTGGTCATGTATGGAACCATTGTTAATGGGCTCCGCAGAACGGGGAACACTATCAGGGCTGTTAGTTTGCTTAGGATCATGGAAGAGGGAAGTTGTAAACCTAACAATGTAGTGTATAACACTGTCATTGACAGTCTTTGCAAGGATAGAATGATGGATGATGCTTTGAAACTCTTTTCTAAGATGAATGAACAAGGCATTCGTCAAGATGTTGTCACTTATACTTCTTTGATTCATGGCCTATGTAATTTTGGCCGGTGGAAGGAGGCTACCAGAATGTTTAGAGAAATGTTGGATCGTGGTATTGCTCCGAATGTTCGTATGTATAGTGTGTTGCTGGATGCATGTACCAAGGAAGGGAAGATGAAAGAGGCAGAGGGGGTACTTGGAGTCATGATACAAAGAGGTGTGGATCCTAATGTAGTCACATACAGTACTGTAATGGATGGATATTGTTTGCAAGGCCACATCGATGAAGCAATGAGAGTGTTCAATACCATGGTGGAGAGGGGCGTTCACCCTAATGTTTTTAGCTATACCATTCTAATCAATGGATATTGCAAGAAAATGAAAATGGATGAGGCTATGCATCTCTTTCAAGAAATGCCTCCGAGAGAGCTGCAACCTAACACTGAAACCTTCAATGCTATGCTACAGGGCCTGTTTCGATCAAGTAGATGCGGAGCTGCTCAAGAACTTTTTAATGAGATGCAAGCTGTAGGAATAATTCCAAATTCTCAAACTTACGGTATCTTATTGGATGGGTTGTGCAAAAATGGGCATATTTCTGAAGCATTGTCGTTATTCCACATAATGGAAAGGAATGGTTTAGATCTTAATGTTGTTATGTACAATATTCTCATTGATGCATTTTGCAAGGATAAAAAGCTTCATACTGCAAGGGCTCTTTTCAGTAACCTTTCTTCCATGGGATTAGATCCTGATTTTAAGACATACACTATGATGATACAAGGTCTTTGTGAAGAAGGCCTACTGCTTGAAGCTAAAGAGTTGTTTGTTAAAATGGAACATAATGGTTGTTTGCCAAATGATGTCACTTACAACACTATTATCCGAGGATTTATTGGACAACACAAGTGCTATGAGGCATTAATACTCATTGAGGAAATGGTTCAAAGGGGTTTTTCGGCAGATGCATCCAGTTGTTCCTTGATCGTAGATATACTCTCAACTAAAGGACAAGATCCTGCTCTCCGAGAAGTGATAAAGAAGTTCATGCCAAAAGATAGTCATGGAATGCATGATGTTGAGTAAATTTCTTCAGATGTGAAGGTAAAGCTACACACATTAAAAAATATATTATCAGGTGAAACTCCTTTGTTTTTTTTTGGTTATACATTGATATGGGCTTATACAAGTGGTCATTTCTTAGGGATTTAGGACAAATGACAGCCAATGATACTTTTGAAGATTTCTTTCTTAGATATGTGGTCATCAACTAGTTCTCTGAAGGAGAATTTATGGTCTTAGTAGTTGTAGAAGATTAAATATCTCCAACTGTGGTGTTGGGAGGCATAACTGTTGTAGTATGTTAAATTGGGTACAAATTACAATCATTGTTGGTCTTTGTGCTCTATGAGATTTATACAAACCTTGAGAGGATTTACATCATAGATAAGATTGTCATTGTTAAATGGAAGAAAAAAAGAAAAAGAACAAACAAGGAATAAATCCATTCAGAAGTTGATACTCTTCCCAGTAGTGGGTGAGCCAATAATCGCCTTGATCGAATGCCTATTGTTGTTTTATAATTTCCATTTATGTATCTTGTGCATAATGCCTCATAATTCTTTCACCCTGTCAAAATTTTTGATTCCCCTCTTTTGAAGGTTCATATCGCCGCCACAGTGCCAAGAAACCCCCCTCACATACCTCGATGCTAACTGTACGGGGAGCAAATATTCCGGCAAGCCTGTACTCCTTTCTTCCGAGCTCCGTCGATGTCCGATCACCTGCGAGCAAGTAACGGTGAGCTACCCGGCGGTGTATGGCCGGAAAAACCCTCCGACGGTCAAGTTAGCACACACCTTAGGATGGATAGAGAGAAGGGAGAGAGTGTTTGAGTGTAAGAATTTCCTTACAGAATGTTGGTCTGTCCAGTATGGGGGGCGCAGATACGCTTATATACCCTCTGCGCCCCATATCCACTCCCAGTCATCTCCTGACACGTGGCTCCGCTATCCCATCTGTCAGCATGAACCATGCCATTCATCACCTAATCTCAACTGCCTGTCAGCACAGCTGGAGCTCGGCAGCCGAGCTGCTCTATCCGTTGTTGTGCCGTGCCGTGCTCCATACCCCAACACTTCAATGGCCAAGACCAAGGGGAACCGGGCTAGGCGGCATCTCGGCAAAGCCTAGCCCGAGGAACCTCCCGTCGTCGGCCTTTCTACCGGTCAAACAACTACCTCGGCTGACCACGCCTTTCCGGGCGCCGGTCATTCGGCCTATCTGGCTTCGACCATCCTCGGATCGAGCATCTCGGTCCAACCGAGCACTGCCTTACCGAGCAGTTTCTTTACGGTTTGGGGCGGCACACACTCGGCCCAAATACTGCCCGGCCCAAGTTCTGGCAGCCCATCTCCGGGCGGATAGTTGATCATCTCGGCCCCATGCATCGTTGGGCCCTCAACCTGCTCGGCCGTTACCTCGGCCCAACTCCAAATCGGCACACACTCGGCCCAAATACTGCCCGGCCCAAGTTCTGGCAGCCCATCTCCGGGCGGATAGTTGATCATCTCGGCCCCATGCATCGTTGGGCCCTCAACCTGCTCGGTCGTTACCTCGGCCCAACTCCAGATCATAAATTACCCTCTCAATTGCCCCTTAATTCCGTCCGCGAAAGCGTGACTGGGATTACACACTTCGACCGAGATGACACTTCTACGGTTTTCAAGACGTCAAACCTCGACTGGGCTAGTTAACATAATTGTCTGCAAACTTGCCCGGTTATATTCCTCGGCTGACATCTTCTTCGTCGAAAGTAGCTCGGTTGGCTCTTCGTCTTTTCAACCCGTCGCTTCAGTCCTGACGCAGCCATAAATGGGGACACGTGGCGGGCTGCCATTGGTCATCGGGCAGCCCACCCGCCGTCCGTGCCAGAGTTTTGAATTTTGGCGGCCTTTCGTTCTTACATATACACGACCTCCTAACGCCATTTCTTCCTACTGCCTTTCTACTACCTGACGATCCAAAGCTCAAGCCATCTCTTCTATCTCGACTGCCATTCTTCGTGCTTGGAAGGACAGCTCGAGCCCTTCACAGGTAAGGTCTTCATTTCTTCTTAAGTTGTTGTTTTCTTTCATAATACACACATTAGGGCACAAAAACATAGCTATTAGGGCATAGGTCGTAGAATCCGCACCTAACCTCCCATTGTTCTTGGTGTTCTTCATCTTCATGAAGAACACTGAAAAACTAGGGTGAACCGGGTTCCTGGTCCTCTTTTGATCCAAAAAACAAACATGACCGAGCAAATAACATGTTTGTCTCAAACCCAGCAGAAACCGAGATAACAAAAGGACTTGGTCGCTCAACCGGACTAACATCTGGTCTGCTCGGGCGACCGGGCTCCTTAGATAGAATAGACAACCAGGGTGGTTTGGCACCCTTAATGACCGAGCTAAAATCCAGCTCCTTTTGCGCGACCGCGCTAACACTTAACACTTGCCATCCTTTTCTTGCAGAGTCCAAGGGGACCAGTCATTCCTGAGGCTCTCAGGACCGAGCATCATCCAATAACCAGTGCCAAACCCCTCAGCCGGGATACACTAAGCCGACCACAAATGGGGAAATTCCGCTTCTTAGTGGATACTTCGGCCGCGCTAGCTGCGTTCAGAAGGGTACGGCATCCCGGCCGACGTTCATTTCGAGTTGGCTGAAGAGGAGACCACACCCTGGGGCAGAACTGACCAATGCCCCTTCACCGTGCTCTCAATTGTCGAAGGGGGACTCCGCTTCCCGCTAAACCCTCTTATAACCGAGTTCCTCCGCCGCATCGGGCTGGCACCCACACAAGTGTCCACCAATACCTATAGAATTATCAACGGTGTTCACGAATTAAACAACCGGCTAGGCACCCACTTAGGCCTAGCCGAGATATTAAGGCAATACACAATGGGCCACACCAGCGACGGCCTAGCATATTACTTGAAGATAAGGCCGGGCAAGGAAAAAATTGTGACCGGAACCCCGGATAAAGATCTGCATGACGACGATTTTTTCTGGGTGTCAGGCAATTACGAAACAGCCGAGGTGCCGGGCTGGTTTATAAACAAGGACTTCGGTTCTTCATGTAAGGCATTCAAACCTGCTCGGTCAGCATAATCCTTTACTCTGTAACTAATCGGTTTTTCTGTTTCTTTTGCAGCAATCCAAGCCTTACAAGCCAACTATCAATTTCCGAACGTTGAGGCAATTCGGACTGTACTTCGGTATCCTCACCGAGATTGCAACGATCTACTAGGCTACACACCGACCTACCGGTATTCTACTCCGCGCCGGAGTAGAGTAACTAACTTCCTCCGCGCTCCTTCGCCACCTCCGGATCCTACCCTTCCAGACGTTCCCCTCGTCCGTCTGACCGAGGAACAAGAGATGGCCAAACGTAGCAGAATCAAGAACCTACTCACCGCCACATCCGCCGAGCTGCCGAGCGTTGTAACCCGGTCACCACCAGCCGGTCAATCCAGTATCGCTGTGGTTGCCCTTGCCTCTCAATCCGCCGGACAATCCAACCGAGAACCTTCTGCACGGCGCGTCGAGAAAAGAGCTCGGGCAGACCCCTCCGCCGAGCTCGTCACCGAGCTGACAACCGAACATCCAACTGAAGCCCCCGCCCCAGCACCGGCCTGGCGTCCCCAGTTAAAGCACCGGGGTCAAGACATCCCGGCAACGGCTTCGATCAAGGCGGACAAAGAGCATCTGCTCACCTTTGATCTGTCCAAAGCTTTCCTTCTACCGAGCGACGTGGTCGGCAGCGACCACGTCCCTGACACTCGGTTAGTCAAGTCATCAGTGAAGTCCATGGCCAGGGTAAGTCAATGCAGCTCTGAAAATTTTCCTAAGTGTTTGCACGGTTCCCTTGCTGATCAACTTTGCTTCTTTGTGCAGGCCATTCAAAAACAACACTTGGTTTTGGAGCGCATCCACCGGCTTAGGCAGAAAGCCAACGACACAGCTAGCTAGGTCGAGAGCCTCCAAACCGAGCTCGGCCGGGCTAAGGCTTCCCTTGAGATCGCCAACACTGATAATAACAGATTGCTCGGTCAGCTGAATGCGGCCGAGAAAAAACAAAATGAGCTCCAGATCGAGGTGGACACCCTGAAGAAGTCGAAGAAGAAAGCTTGCCGGGCTGCCAATAACGCCGGTTTTAACGAGGCCGAGCAGAGCTACAAAAAGCAAGTCTTTGCAACACAAGACATCTACTTCAAGGCCGGCTGGAAGTCTACCTGCGAGCACCTCGGCCAGGGCTCTGACACCGACGTATTTGCCAATCCTCCTCCTGCCAAGCTACCGGTCTACCTCGTGCCTTACGCAAATGACGTATTCAGCGCTCTACAAGCGGAGGCCGAGGAGGGGCTTGAAGAAGGAGGTGGTGACACAGATTCAGAGGCTGAAGACGCTGAGGTGGAGGAGCAGCCCGGTCAAGTCGAGCCCGGTGCCCAAGAAGCAAGTCCAACCATCGACCTTGAGGCCGCCGAGGACGAATTTACCCATCTCTCCCCCTTGGTGTAGTTTTCTTTTCTTATTTGTATTTTTGCTTTCAACACTTCTGATGTAACCGGGCTCTGTCCCCACCTTTTGTAATGAATTTCTTATCAATGAAAAGTTCAAATTCTGCCAAGTGTTTGCACGGTTGTCATCCAAGTTATCTCCATCAAAACATCTCGGTGTAAATCATTGTTTGAACAAAACACCTCGTCGACCGGAATTCACACCTCGAAAGAAGCACTTAAGCAAAACAAAACAAATTCATGAACCGAAATAACCATCTCAGTTGTAACAAAGTTGAACAAATCAACACTTCAAACCGGATTAGATCATCTCGGTTGGGAATTCAAAGTTGGTCAAAACACCAACTCTTCCAACCGGGATAGATCATCTCGGTTGGGAATCCAAAGTTGGTCAAAACACCAACTCTTCCAACCGGGATAGATCATCTCGGTTGGAAATCCAAAGTTGGTCAAAACACCAACTCTTCCAACCGGAGTAGATCATCTCGGTTGGGAATCCAAAGTTGGTCAAAACACCAACTCTTCCAAC